CGAAGTGTTGGAGCATAAGCTTTCATGGGCAAAGACCTGCTTCGTCAGATGCATCTGACGAAGTAGGTCTTTGCCCATGAAAGCTTATGCTCCAACACTTCGGTTAGTCTATAAGGTGCCACAGGACTCCTCGCCGCTTTTGCATGATTCTGAGATGCATTAACAGGAGTGTTGTGAGCAAGACACGAGAAGTCATTCTTCCGCTCTACTCTGCACTGATTAGGCCTCAGTTGGAGTATTGTGTCCAGTTCTCAGCACCACTTTTCAAGAAAGATGTGGACAAATTGGGAAAGGTCCAGAGGAGAGCAACAAGAAAGATTAAAGGTCTAGAGAACATGATCTAAGAAGGAAGACTGAAAAAATTGGGCTTGTTTAGTTTAGAAAGGATAAGACTGAGACATGATGAGGACATGATAGCGGTTTTCAGGTATCTAAAAGGGTGTCACAAGGAGAAGGGAGAAAAATTGTTCTCCTTGGCTTCTGAGGAAAAGGCAAGAAGCAATGGGCTTAAACTGCAGCAAGGGAGGTTTAGGCTGGACATTGGGAAAAACTTCCTAACTGTCAGGGTAGTTTAACACTGGAATAAGTTGCCTGCGGAGGTTGTGGAATCTCCATCTCTGGAGAGATTTAAGAGCAGGTTACATAGACATCTATCAGGGATGGTCTAGACAGTCCTGGGTCCTGCCGTGAGGGTAGGGGACTGGACTTGATGACCTTTCGAGGTCCCTTCCAGTTCTAGTGTTCTATGATTCTCTGAAAAGCCAGGATGCTGGAAGTTCTGTTGGTGATTCAGTAGGTGGCAGCCTTCTCCTACTGCCTCTGCTGGACCAACGCCCAGCTGCTGTACATGGCAGGGGATATAAAACTAAGGTCATTAAAGAGCTCCCGTTCCATTTAAAAAATGGTGTTAGCCCTAGCGTCCTGGCTTTCCCATGTGGGGAGCTACAGCCTGCACACCAACATGCCCACTGCATAGTTTTACCAGAATAAGGGGTGATTCTTCACCTCCAGTGTTTAACTGCTGTGTGATGCCCCTGTGCACTGCTAGGCTGCTATGTTCCACCCCAGAGAGGGCTATGTTCCACCCCAGAGATCATTCCACGAGGAGTACAGCTAGTTCGGATTAGAAGCCTAATCCGAACTAGCTACTCCGTGCTGCGTGTAGCCACGCTGCACGGGGTTCGAACTAGCCGGCATTTAAAAATGGCGGTGCCTGGCTTATGCAAATGAAGCCCGGGAAATTCAAATCCCGGGCTTCATTTGCAAGTGCGGTATGCCTACATTACCCCGCTAGTTCGAACTAGCGGGGTAGTGTAGACATACCCGATGAGAGCTACTGGAATTGAAAAAGAAAAAGAAGCCAAAACCCATGGTTCCCCAGCCTCTGGTTAGGCTGACAGATCTGGAATGCATCACAAACTTCATTTGCGAAGCTGCCACTCCTAGGAGCCTTGAGCGCAGACTGAGCTGCCGTTGTGGGCAAAAAGCTGACTAGCAGAATCACATCTCCAAGCTGCGTATATATTCTCCATCACTGGCTCCCAGGTCCCAGCGGCTGAGTAGACAAGTCAAAACAAGATTGCTAACTGCCGGCACTGTGGGCTGTGCCGAGGTCCCTGGAAGAAGAGAGATGAGCAATGTTCTTTTTGCTTCACATAACTCTTCGCCCTGGTGCAGAATCTGGGGCAGGGTGGAGAAAACCGGCTCACTTCTCTGCAGCTGCTGGCTCTCCAGTAGGGAAATCTCAGGGCCAGTTAGTGAGCTAAGCAGGCTCACTAAAAATAAAACCTTTCTTTGTTGTTGCTGCTTTTTGGACCATGATCCCAATCAAAAAAGCATGGAAGGGTGTTGTAAGGCTCGGTGAAATGTTTACAAAGCACTCACCATGCCTGGGATGACAGGTGCAAGACAAAAGGCAGGTACGGTTGATGCTTTTTGTATGGGATGACACTGACCACAGCTAAGAAAGCTAAGAAAGGATGCAAATCATGATCATTCCAATGCTCCTAACACTGAACTAATTTGGATAACACCACTTTACCCACCCTGACAGGCACTGATAAACTAGGCCTTACAACCCCCTGGTGTGATAAGAAAGAGTCTCTATTCCCTTTCACATATATAGGGAAAATGGATGCAAAGAGAGGTGCCCAAGGTCACACAAGTCAGTGGCAGAGTTGACAGTAGCGACACCAAGACTAAGTCTACACTACAGAGCTTTCCCAGGATACTGGAGGTATCCTGGAAAAACTCAGCCACGTCCAGGGAACGCAACTACTATCAGACGCACTCTTTCAGAAGCCCTGTCTTCCTCCTTCCACATGGAAGAAGGGCTCTTCTGAAAGAGGAGGTTTTTCCAAAATTTGGCCCAGTGTAGACGGGCCAAATTTCGGAAGGAAGCCTCTTCCAAAAAAAGAATAGGAAAAAGAAGTGTAGTGTAGACATAGCAAGAGACAAGGGGTCCTGAATCCACGTGCTCCGTTCTGACCAGTAGCTGACACTCCTCAAGACCTAGGAGCAGAGCTCAGAAGCTCTTGCTCCTCTGTTCCAGCCACCAGACCCTTGCTCCCCTCCCAGAGCTAGGAAGAGAACTGGAGTCCAAAGTCCCATTTTCAAAGCACTCAGCGGATGCTTGAGAACATGATCTCATTTGGGTAAATCAAATGTGTGGCCAAAGTTTGACCATAAAGTGTTTCAGAAACTGTGTGTGTGTGGGGGGGGGGGAGGATTATTATTTATTACGCCCGTTACTGTAACTCAGGATCCTCGGTCACAGACCAGGAGCCCATTGCTCAAGGAACTGCACAACCACAGAAGAAAAAGACAGGCTCTCCCTACCCCAAAAAGTTCAGTCGTTTCCCTAAGCGCAGAAACTGCCCTGACCCTGGTACCGTTATAAGCTTCTCAGTGCAGAGATCAACAGTCGCTTTCTTGGATGATAATGGAGCACGTTTTTGGTGCTACCAGCAACAATCAATAGGCAGAGTTCAGGTACCTAAAGCATTTTGCTTACATCAGCCACCAAATTCCAGTTAACTCTTGAGCTACCGGCACCAGGAACCTTGGCTCCTTCCTGGTCTGCAAGGTGATTAGTACAATTTAGGCTCAATAATAACAAATCATCATGATGATTAATAATGTCCCCGCGGCTGTCACTTGTATTGTGGTCACATGCAAAGGCCCCATCAGAATTAGAGCTCCACAAAGCGCATGGAGACTCGGACCTGCCCCTGCAGAGCTTCCAATGAATTTCTCCTTCGGATGTCAGACTCCTTTCAAGGAGCACAGAGCTGGGGTTTAGTAGCAGCTGTTTCCCTCCACAGGGAGGCCAGCACAAGGCTGAGCTATCAAGGGTTTACCCCTGGCAGTGCACACTTGGCGGGTAATGCCGGGAGTAAGTTGTTTGACCTCTGTGCCTTGGGTTCCCCTCCTGGAACTCGGGGATAATACCTACCTCAGGAGAGCATGGGGGCGCTTCCTCCGTGTATGTTTGCACAGTGCTTGGAGATCCCAGGATGCAGGGCACTGTGGGGTCGCTGGCAGCAGCGTGCCCACCCGAGTGTCACTTTGCTTCGCAGTGAGGCTAGATGCCAAGTTATCTGCTAACTCCTGGGAGCTGCCAGAGGCAGGTGGCAGCTGCCCCCCTTCGGCTTGCAAAAAGCATCCTGCCCCCATCAAAACAAGCAGCTGCAAAGCTCCTCCAAGTAAACAAAACGACCGCAGTCCAATACATACCTCGGCAGCAGGCGTGAGGAGGAGGAGGAGCAGAGCCCCGGTTATTGCTCCAAAGCTGTCGCACATCCTGAGCGAGCGGGGCAGGGCAGGTTTCCGACTGACAGCTCGCCCTCTCGCTCCCTCTCCGCTCCGTTTGGAGAATGGTGCACACGGGAGCCTCTTCAAATAGCCTCCCGATGGGGCGTGCCCTGCCCTCGAGTGACAAGCTGGAGAGTGGCCCGAACTGAGTGAACCAAAAAGTTGCTGAATTCCAGAGAAGGTAGCAGCGTCCTGCGCCTTGGGTGGTCCCCGGGCTGCTGGTGGAGTCTGGGACTCGCCTGCATTCCACGGGCAGAAATCAAGTGCTGGCAAAATAATCCTTACTAGGATTGTATGATTGTTACTCCCTCGTGGGAAGCCTGAGACAGCTTCCTCCTTGGCTCCTCTCCACCTTCCTTAGGACCAGGAGCGGTACCCTCGAAGTGAAGCATTGTTGGAGTAACTACTGCCCTTGGAGGGGGCAGGGAGGGAAGGTTTCGCTTTGTTAGAAGCCCTTTGGTACCAGCAGTGACAGTGCATCAGCAGGGCCTGCAGACCCACCTGACCCAGACGGGTAAAACGGGTGGGAAGGGAGGAATTTCCCTGTGCTGCATGTGGGAAACCTAGTGAAATGGCTTGTCTTCAAGCGAGCTCAGCAGCAAACCATCAGCACTGCGCAGTACAGGCATCCAGATTCACAGCCGGTGGGCTGAGCCCCTAGGACAAGGAAAGGCTGCACAGCTGAGGTCTTTCCATTTGCCTCCTTATCTTTAAGCTTGCCCAGAGAGAGGTGACACACACATTCCTGGGCACCTTTTTCACACAGCGATGAGGGTGACAGAGTGACCTGGGCCAGCCCTCTCGACGTCGTGCTCTCCACCCTCCATGCCTGGCTGGCACCTCTCCTGGCACCTGGCACTGCGTCTTCTCGAGGTGACACATGGGGGGCATGTGGGATCACAACCCCCCTTCCACAGATTTCTGCAGGGGTTCACACCTGAGCGTGGCCAGCAGATGCCTTTTGACACTGCAGGAGGGAAGAGACGGGAGCTGCTTCCAGACGGAGGGTGTGGATGTGTGTTTCCAGAGCTCATCTCTTCCCACCAACACAGCTGGCACTGCGTCTTCTCGAGGTGACACATGGGGGGCATGTGGGATCACAACCCCCCTTCCACAGATTTCTGCAGGGGTTCACACCTGAGCGTGGCCAGCAGATGCCTTTTGACACTGCAGGAGGGAAGAGACGGGAGCTGCTTCCAGACGGAGGGTGTGGATGTGTGTTTCCAGAGCTCATCTCTTCCCACCAACACAGCTTC